TTTTTTTTTTTCTTTTGCTTTGCCATACCTTAATATTTCAGTGTTAAAAACAATGTTTCAGACCTCTAAAATAGACTATATTTTAGAGGCAGCCAACAGTATATGTGTTGCATTTGACAAAAATAAACTGAGTAAATGAATAAATAAATAAATAAATAAATAAATTCTATATGTACGTTTATCTATTTATTTATTCGTCCTTTTAATTATTAATATAAAGTTGGTATCCTCTGTACAACTTGCTGTATCAGCAGCACAACCAACAGATATATATATTTTTATGCATAACAACTATAATGGTCAGTCACAATCTTTGCTTCGTAAACATTATTTACAAATTTTAGCTTGTTTTTATAGCTTAAAAAGTAATCGGCAACAAACTAAATGCCACTTCCTTATTATCATCAAAATTAAACAACATTAGAACTAGCTTAGTTTTCAGCCATTGATTTCAGGTCAACAAATGAAGCTTTAAAACTGTAATTATTATACGCCAAGCATAAGCAATTGTACTGCCTACTCAACTAAATCAATATACAAAAAAAAGTAAAAAAATATATATATATATAAATTATAAAAATTAATGCTGTAAGCTATAATTCTTTACACACTTTTACTACATTAATTTTGCAAAAAAAACCCTTAAAGTTGTAGTTTTTGAAAACTAATGGCAAATAATTTTGAAAAAATCCTAACTGTTCATAGAAAGTAGAGCGTCTAATAAAAACTGTGCTGTTATAGAAACAAATTAAAATTATTACGTTCTACAAAAATTCAATCTTCTTTTTACCTTCTAAATATGTAATTTTTTACCGAATATCTGCTGCAAAATGTGAACAGAAATTTACCTGATAAAACGCTGGTGTTCCACATAGGTTAACAATTTGACCAGCAATACGAGAAATATTTTTTCCGGCTTGTTTGTTCTCCTCCAAACAGTAATGAACAAAAACCTGCGCTAAAGCATCTGCTGCTTTGTCGTCCTCAAAATTGCCTTAAAAACGATCATTTTTCCAACTCTTACAAGTAGGAAAAAGAGAAACTGAACGTAAAATACAGATAAAAATTTGATACCTGTGATAAACTGTTCAATAACAATGTTTTCTTTAGCAATTGAAAGACTCCGCAAGCTAATAGTCAAATCTTCAATGTCCTTTTGATTAAAACCCTTTTTTTTTGTTTCTTTCAGGGCAGATTTGACATTTAGGCTTTCTTTTCGTATAAGTTCACCACCACTGTGTTTCACGTTGCCATTAGTAGTTGCTTTTAGGGATGAACTGGATGATTTTCGACTTCCTGATCTTTTAAGCTGCTGCTTAACGTGTAACGACGTTTCAGTTGTACTTTTACGATTGTTATTATTTTTTTCAGATTCCTAAATAACAAATTAGAACTTTTTTTGATCTAGTTTAAGAATAGACTAAAATATTTAGGCAGACTGTACTAAAAAATAAAACTCATAGTGTTAAAAAAAAACTCATAATTCTCTTATAATTCTTGTCTTTTTTTTTTTTTTTTGAGTCATCGCTGTACCAGCATAAATAGTTTTTTGAAATCACTAAAAATTTATTGCATTGAGTAACAGGAATTTCCTGAATGTTTTTAAGTTTTGAAAAATTACGGAACGAGTTTTTTTTCCCCTTCAATACGGCAGTTTTTAAAAATTCTTTTTCATAGCTGATTGGCATTCATTACCATTACTGTGCTTTTCGTTGAAGCTCCCATCAAAAAACTGAGGTATTCTACGAGCAAATACTTCAAAGCAGAATAGTATAGGGGAACACATAAACTCTTTTATACCTCACAGTTTAGGATTCCGTGTGACAAAAAAACTGCGTTGTAAAAATAGCACTTTTTAACATAGGTAATGGTAAAATAGATAGTGTACAGCCAAATTTACAGTCCTTTATTTTTCACTCAAAAAGACAATAGAAACGGTACACCGTATAGAATGTTTCCGGTTGTTAATCATACTGAAAACATACGAGTTGCCTAACAAAGGCATGTTTTGTACCGTAGTGCAGAAAAACTTGATATTACACTATTAGGAACACCCGAGAAAGAGAGAAATTAGAAACTGTCCGTATTAAAATTGTTGAAAATTTAACTCAAAGTTCAGTACTTTTCAGTTTCTGTTTCATTGTTATCACTGATAATCCCACAAGTTCTAAACTCTGTCGACAGTTCTAGGAATCAAACTGAGTGCTATTGGAAAACAGAATGGCAAAGCTTTGTTGTCCAAAGAAACAGCTGCGAAGTAGAAAGTGAAACGCAGTGAAAAAAAGATA